CGTTACTATCATGGCTCCCGAAATGGGGAGCTGGTCCCTTCAGTTTAAAATTTACTTCAAGCACTAGAAATGTAGTTACCAAATAAACCAGCTTCAACATGCCTGGTATTCAAGGCCTTGCTATCTAGTTTGTTCATTGATGCTCACTGGGCTCTGTTCACAATAGCTAGGAAATAAAATTAGCATAAATGTTTAACAATTGATAAACAAATAAAGAAAATATTACCTGTTATTAAGCTACAAAGAATAATAAATTTTCCAGTTAAATGGGTGAAACTTGAAATTTGAAAAATATACTGAGTGAAGTGTCGGCAGGGGGTGGGGGCAGAGAATATCATTAAGGAATATCTCAAGGTACAAACCTCCCATTCAGCTCCAGCCTACAATTGTATTGCAGATTTGAGCTAATCTGCTATTGAATGACATTGCCTCAGTGGAGAATGTCCCCCAGTTTGCATCTCTACAGAACTAACATTTGAATAGGCCTGCACCTGGGTGGAGGGCTAGGTGTGTAAGTAACAAGTGAGGACACAAAAAGAGTTAGGATCTATCTAGTAGAGAGAGGGGCTACAGGAGCAGAGAGAAATGGCCTCCTGGTGGCCAGCGAAGCATGGTTAAGAGACAGCCAGGAATGCTGCATGAATAAAGAAGAGACTCTAGTTTTGCAGCATGGAACTGAGAGTTCTCTAAAGACTACAAGATGCCTGTGTTTGGTCTTCATTGCCATCAGGTTGTTAGGGGTTTCCAAGTCCCCCACTCCCCCACTCAGGCCGAACTTCATGGCTGCTGTGGTTTGTGGCTGAGACATGTGGGGCCACAACAGTGAAGTCACCCAGACCCAGAAAAATAAAGATTATTTTCTTTTTCTGTCTCTCTTGTGGATCATGGCTTTGATTTTTTTCTTTGCTTGCTTGTTTGTTTAAGTTGACATACAAATGGAAACAAAGAAGCTAGAAAAAGTACATATGGAGAGTTCATTGAGGGAAGGAAAATGGTAGAGTTTAGGTAAAATAAAAATTGAGGAATAACTGGGGCAGGAAAGTTTTAAGAGATAAGCATCGTGGAAACCAGAGGTAAGAATGGTTGGTTAAGAAGAATGAATGGAATCTGAGGACATACAAGCCAACTAAATTCAAAATAAAATTGCAGAGAACAGTAGAACACATGCAATATTATAGTAGGAGGGGGATACTAGGCATAATATGTTTAAGGGAGGCTGCAGGCATGATGTGGGCAAAAGTAAATTATTGTTCAGTTAACCAAAACTAAGGATGTATGCTAAGGCATTATGGAGATTCAATTGTTTGCAATCTAATTAGAAAATACAATCTTTTTTTAAGGAGTTTGGGGACTGGAATAATGGTTCAATGGTTAAAGGCACCTGCCACTGTTCCAGAATAGCCACAATTGGGTCCCATTACCCACATCAGGTGTTCCACAATTGCCTATGAACTTCATTTCCAGCAGCTCCAAAACCCTCTGGCCTTCATAAGCAGTGTCCACATACTCATGTAATCACATACACATACACATTAAGAAATGAATATATATTTTTCCTTTTTACTAAATTAGTTTATTTTCCTAGCCCAATATCAATTTCCCCTCCTTCCTGTTCTCCTTCCAGTCCCTTCCCCCAACCTCCTCTGTCTCCCCACATCTACTTCTCCTCCTTTCTCTTTAGAAAAGGGTTGGTCAAGCACATGTATCAGCTTGCCAAGGCATAACAAGTTGCAGTGAGACTAAGCACCTCCTTTCCTATATAAGACTAAGTATGGCAACCCAGTAGAAGGGAAGGGTTCCAAAAACAGGTAACAGAGCCAGAGACAGCCCCTGCTCCCACTATTAGGAGTACCACAAGAAGATCAAGTTACACAACATGTGGAGTTCCTAGGTCAATCCCATGCAAGCTCACTGGTTGCGGGTTCAGTCTCTGTGAACCCCTTTAAACCCAAATTAGCTGATTCTGTGGGTTTTATTGTGATGTCCTTGACCCTTCTGGTTCCCACTATCCTTCTCACCACCACCTGCCATAAGATTTCCAAAGCGCTACCTAATGTTTGGCTGGAGGTGTGTATTTGTCTCTATCAGTCGCTGGGTGAAGCCTTGTTGATGACAACTGGGCTAGGCACCAATCTACGAGTACATCAGAATATCATTAGGAATCATTATATTTTTTATTGATAGGAGTGTTTGGTCTATCCTAGTTCTCTGGGTTGTCCAGTCTCTGGGTCCTGGCTATCCAGGCAATGTCAAAGATGGACTCCCTCTGATGGTATATGTTTCAAGCTGGATCGGTCATGGGTTGCCTATTTCCCTAATTTTTACACCACCTTTACCCCAGCAAATCATGTAGGCAGGGAAAATTGTTTTGAAAAACAAGAAGGGTTTGAATGTCCACTGTATTGGTGGACAATGGTTCTCATAAAAGATATGAATAATTAAATTAAAAACTCACTTCCAAGCATCAGAGAGGCCACAGAGATCTTCAATACATAAAGACTATTGCCATTGCCCTTGGTTACCCACCATAACTACATGTTATGACCCTATATTTAAGATTCTATACATGCTGGCTAAGTACATAGAGAATTCAAAATTTCCAAGAATATTCTCAGCTAGGTTTTATAGAGCCAGACTTTGCTATGTTGGCTCCTGAGAGAGAAAACACCTCAAAGATCTTACCCAGTGCTGGCTCCTGCATACTAAAGTACTACCTGCCATCAAGACATGTTCACAAGAACAGTAGTTACCTGCTTTACTGGAGTAGCCAACCACTACTTCATATTCTCTTTAAGTTAAGATAAAATGTGGTAGGTTTCTTTTGGCATTTTCTTACATTTGTCACTATGCTTTGGTATTTTGTCTCCCACTTCCACCCTTGCCATCCTCTCCTGTCTCTTCCTCCCCTCTTGATGGGCCTCTTCCTCTCCTGAAATAACCCTCTTTCTGTTTTTATGTCACAGGTATTCCATTACCTGCTATTCCCACCCACCCCATACATTCAGCTCTTTCCTTTGTCTCATATGAGCTGTCCTCAATTGCACTAGTTCTTTTTAAATACATTTTTTGTTTGCATTGGTTTCAGCTTCTTTCAACAAAATGAATAATTTCCTATATTCTATCCTCCAAAACCATTTCATACCTACAGTATCTTGATTAATATCTATTATTTTCATCCATCAAAGAAAAAACATAATTTACTTAATGACAATAACAAGATAAGCAATAAAAATACAGCCTGTATTCTGTTTTGTTCTGAAACTTGTGAACTTCCCTACAGCACTAAATAATACTCTTTGAATATAAGATGCTTTATAACATAAATAGAAACAATTTTAGTAGATGCAATAAACCTGTTTACTCCTCAGGTAATGAGGTCTTATGTTAACTGAATATGAAATATCATGTTATATATAATAGTAAAATTGGTGTCTCTTAAAAAAATTTCTAACTATAAATAATCCTGTGGTCATATAAGTCAAATTTATAACTAAAGTAATGATCACCTACTACAATAAAAATGAAGTCAACTGAACACACATTCTAAAATACAGAATTTCACAAAAAGACAAGAAAGAGATTTAGTTGCAATACAAAATTATCTAGTAAAGTGATATTTTCTTAAATTCCTCCAAAAGTAGATTGGAATCTTTAACTTTTACAGTGTCAAGAAGAAACTCTTAATATTTCATAGTGTCTTTGATTCAATATGCACAAGGCCTAGCCTAATCTTTCCAAAAATATATAAAGAGTGTCTTTTGGCTATTGTCAGTTTGTTTTCTATTGCTGTGACCAAACACTATGACCAAAACCAGCTTGGGAAGGAAAGGAGTTATTTCAACTAATGTCTCTCAAGTCACAGTTCAAAACTCAGAAAACTCAATGCTGGAACTCAAGACAGGAACCTGCAAACAGGAATTGTAGCAGAGACCATGGAGGTACACTGCTTACTAGCTTGCTCCCATGGCTTAGTCAACCCAATTTCTTACATAATCCAGAACCATTAGTCCAGGAGTAGCACCAGTCTCAAACAATGTGGGCTGGAACCCCCCAAATTGTTTATTAATGAAAAGAATGATTCTGATGGGGATGCTTTCTCAATTGAGGTTCTTTTTCCCCATATGACTCTGACTTCTGTTAAGGTGACAAAAACTAACAAACACAGTGATCTCCATTCTTACTTTTTACAAACAAAGCTAATACATGACTTTTTAAAAACTCAACTTACTAATTGATGTATTATGTAATAAAAAGTGACCTGTCAACTGTATTTTCTACCTTACTTCCAAA